GTCACCAGGGCCAATAGGGTGCTACCAGAATCACCTCTGCCCTCTCTAGTACTAACTTCCTCAGAACCCCAGGAAGGAGAGGGAGAGGGGAAAAGTGTAGAGGAGGCCTGTCGGTCATCTGCAATGCAGGGCATCAACATCCACTGTCCCTCGAGCTGGGAACTGTGAGATGAAGTTCCGGACGTGGGCGTTTGATGGGGTGGTGAAGAGGTCCACTGCCGGCCGACCGAACCTCCAACAAATCTGGTCAAAAATGCTGGGATGCAGCTGCCACTTCCCATGGTCCACTGTTTCCTTGCTGAGCCACTCTGCCTGCTGGTTCTCCATCCCGGAAATATGTTCTGCTCGAATCGATAGAAGATGTCGGTCTGTCCACTTTCCTAGCTGCACTGCCTCATCTCGAAGTGCCACAGTGTGTGCCCCCTTGCTTGTTGACATGGGCCTTGGCAGCAACATTGTCCGTCAGGACTTGGACATATTGACCACTGACCGTCGCCTTGAAGTGGTGAAGTGCCAGGTGTACCGCTTTGAGTTCCAGCCAATTTATGTTTTTTGCAGATCTGAGTGAGTCCACTGGCCTTGGCCTATTTGGGATTCCAGGTGGGGCCCCCAACCGAAAAGACTCGCGTCTGTCATCAGGACCAACCTTTCTGGCTCCCTGAAGAGGGAGGCCCTGGCTAGCACTGGGGACATCCACCAACAGAAGGACAGGAAGACCTGGAGCGGCATGAGGATCTTGAAGAGGCATCGCTTGTCCCGTCTCTTTGGTGAGGAAGCAGCAACCACTGCAGCTCCCTAGCGTGGAGTTGTGGCCATGGCACTATCGTGACGCACAAGATGAACTTGCCCAGGAGCCGAGATAGAAGAACTACGGGAACAGAAGATGCCTTGTGAATCTGTTTGATCAACCCCACAATACTCTCCCTGCGTTTCTGGGAAAGGAATACCTCACACTCCACTGTGTCAATGACAGCTCCTAAATGCTGAAGTCTAGTGGTGGGGTCCAGATGACTCCTCTCAAAGTTGATCAAGAACCCCAGGGTCTGCAAGGGATTAATTGTGCGACCCAGATCTCTCTTAGCCAGGTCCGCAGTCGCTGACTGAACAAGGATATCACCAAGGTAGCACTGTAAGCGGACAGGAATGGTGACACCAAGCCAAAGGGAGAGCCCTGTATTGATAATGGACCCCCTTATATGAAAACCTGAGGAACCCACAGTGCTCTAGGAATATAATGATATGGAGATATGCCTCCATGAGGTCAATAGATGCCAGGAAATCCCCTTGTCTAATTCCTTCGAGGATGGACTTGAGGGACGCCATCTTAAACTTGCGATACACCAACCTAGAATTCAACAGGTTCAAGTCTAGGATTGTTCTCCCCCCGCAAACTTTTGGGAACTACAAACAAGTTAGAATAAAACCCCAACCTCTTTTCTTCCTCCAGAACCACTCCACTGCTCGGATATCCAGCAGATGCTGAATAGCCTTGTGCATGAGCTTATACTTGACCTAGTTCCTAGAGGAAGAAAAGAGTTGGAATCTATTCGGAGGATGGGACAGGCTCTCTAACCTCAAACCAAACCTAATAGTCTGAAGGACCCAGGCATCAGTGGTGATGCAGTACAAGCGATCCGTAAACAAGGTAAGGTGGCCACCAATTGGGTGATCCGATCCCAAATCACTTGTTTCTGTGGTAGGGATGGCCACCTCTCCCTCAAAAAGGATGTTTACTGGGCTGCTGGTACCTGTCCTTGTCCCTAGAGTATTGCCTGTCCCCCTGCCTGGGGTATCTGGGGGCAAAATACCTTGACTGTTGGAAGTACTAGTTAGGAGGCTGGTAGGCAGGCCTCCTGGGATAAGGTGCCGGGCGCTGATCTGAGCGCTTGGTCATGGAAGGGAGGATCTTGTGCTTATTTTTATCTTCCACTAGAATGGGTCAAGGGAAGTGCCAAACAACTTGTCTCTGGCATACTCAGCCACTGCCAGGTGCCACTTTGATCTGGCATATGTCTGCCAATTGCGCAACTACAGAAGACACCTGGACACCACTGAAGAGGACAGGGCTCTAGAGGAGTACTTAACTGCGTCCAGCATGGCGTCTTCCAAGAACTGGGTAGCCGCCATCAGTTTCTTAATGTCCTACAGCAGCCGCACATCAAAGGAAGATGTCCTATCAGGCAATTGTTCCAACCAGAGCAAGGTGGTTCTGTTGAAAAATGAAACCGCAGTAGCCGCCCTGATTGCCCACGTTGCAGCCTGAAAGGTCTTGCGCAGGACCCATTCCGCCTTCTTATTCTCCACCTTCAGGCTGTTGGAGATGTCACCTGTTACCACCGCAAAGGAAGAGGCCAGAGCTGCCACCAGAGCATCCACCATTGAAACCTGCAATGCTTGTGTAAAGGCACTGATAAGATTATAAAATCTATGATCACTCCCCCCAGGTATGGAAAATGTCCTGGGCTTCACCCACTGATTCTTGAGCACTTCAAGGAAAAGATCTGGAGTAGGAATTTCCTCCTTCTCCACCAGAGGCTTGGAGAAAGGCCCTTTTTGTCCCTCCCACTTGCACTAGGGGTGGCAGGAGCCTGAGCGGGAGCCGGGGTAACTCCCAGATCCGCCGTGGCCTTGGCCTTACGCAGCAAGGAACCAAACAAGGCAGAAGGAAAAAGACCCACAATAGCAAGTGCTTCTGGGACCTGGGAATCCTCATCCTCAGAAAGATCAGTGTCCTTCTGTTCCTCCTCCTCCAAGCCTAACCCTTCACTGGTAGTCGAAGGGGAAACTG